ACTGATTTTTGGTGGCAAGCAATTGGAAGGTAGATGTGCTTTGTCTGAGAAAAGCATTAGGAGTCTAGACATGCACATCTTTTTTTCCCCCCTTCCCCTGGTGCTGTGGATTGAACCCAGAACCTTGTAGACATTAAGCCACACTTCATCTTCTATTGGGACTTGTATTGGTTGTCTGACCCATTACTTCAACAAGCCAGAAAACAAGTCATTGTGCATGGGTTAACTAAAAAAAAAAAAAAAAAAAACACTAAAAAGTAATCATAATGGGCTGAGGATATATGTAGCAGAGTAATCACTCAAGGGCAGAAATGATTGCCTAGCACAAGTGAGACCCTGGGTTTGATCCCCAGCGCCACACACACACAAAAAAAAAAAAAAAGAAAAAAGAAAAAGAAAACAAGAACAAAAAACCACAGCAATAATACAATAACAAAACAACCATGGTTGGTATATTAGTCAGCTTTTGCTGGGAGCCATTAGCCAAGTAGGTATGACAATTTCCTTGCCAGCGTACCCCTTTTTTATTTATTTATTTATTTTTTCTGTTTCTTTGACGTAATATCTGAGAAGATCAAATTAAAAGGAGGAAAGGTTTATTCTGACTCATGGTTTCAAAGGTTCAGTTCATGGTAAGTTGGCCCCATTGCTTTAGGTCTGTGGTGGGGAGTGAGTGGTGGTGTAAAGCTGTTCGTCTCAAGGTGGCAAAGAGTGAGAGAGTAGGAGCCTGGGTCCTACTATCCCTTTCATGGCCATATCTCTGGTGACCTAACTTCCTTCCAGTTGAGTCCTCACCAGCTCCCAATAGTGTCATCAGCTAGGGACCAAGCCTTTAACACATGAGCCTTTGGGTGACATGTTAGATCCAAACCATAACACATGGCATTTAGAACTTGAAGTTATAAGCTCAAGTTAATGAAAATATTGCTCAGATAAGCTATTTGAGCAAGTACACTTGAAACAATAAAAATAGTTTCTGTTAGTATTATTTACATAAAAGAATGAACTTTTCCTTTAGTCATTATTAAAAATAACTGTATCTGCATCTTACCTATTCCTGGTATCTATACTTCATTGTGAAAAAATACCTATTTACCTACATATTCTCAAATATTTTGCTCACTGGCTACTATTTTACTATATTTATGGTTTGTACTAATTTGTTCTATGTTGAATCAAAATTTAGGAGAAAGATTTCTTATAGGAACAAGATATTTTCTGCATTAAAATACAACTCCATCAGTTTTGATCCCAAGATGACTTTTTCAGACTGCCAACAAAGTAATTCTTAACTAAATGAAAAATGTAATTTTCTGTAACTTGATTCCCCCCCCACCCACCCAGTGCCAGGATCTTGCACATACTAGGTAAGAGCTCTACCACTGAAGATCCAGGAACTTGCACATACTAGGTAAGAGCTCTACCACTGAGCTATATCCTCAGCCCTTTTAAAATTTGAGACTGAGACTGATTCTGGTTAATTTGCCTGACTAGTCTCAAACTTGTGATCCTCCTGGCTCAGCCTCCAAGTAGTTGGGATTATGGGAGTGTACCACCAAATTCACTGTAACTTGACTTTTTAATGATAAACTAAGTAGGAAGTTTCAGGGCATTTCTTCTCATGTATTGCATAAAATGGATGACTGCAAATTATGGATTTTTTTACCCCCCCCCCCCTTTGGCACCAGGGGATTGAACCCAGGAGTGTTTAACTACTGAGCCACATCTCCAGCACTTTTTATATTTTATTTTGAAACAGTCTTGCTAAGTTGCTCAGTGCCTTGTTAAGTTGCTGAGGCTGGCTTTGAACTTGTGATCCTCCTGCCTTGGCCTTGAGAGCTTCTGAGATTACAGGTGTATGCCACCCTGCCTGGCTGATATTTTGTTCTTAGAGTTAAAAATCAAGGTTTTGCAATCTTACCATCTGCGATGGAACTACCATCATATTGTGTACAGTGGTGTCCACTCCTAATGTAAACATCTGTTAGCAGGCACAGTGCTGATACTGACTTTTCACGGTGTATACCCTGATTCTGTGTAATGTTTAATAAAGAATTTTACCAATAGCTTGTTATACTTTCTTTAAGCTAAATATTTGTTTTTAACTTGTAGCTATTTGTACAAATATCTCTGTAACAAAATGACTTCTACCAATTTTTTTTTTCTATGAAGAATGTAAACTTCATCTCTTTTATCCAGAAAATTCATTGATGTCATGCTAGGAAACATTGTTTTGCATTTTTTTCTGAGAAAATAAATTTTACTCAGTAGAGAAGTTGTATTACATTTTGTTTAAAAAATGTCTTGGAAGCGTCAATGGTTTGCTTTTTATTTATTTAAAAAATTTTTTAGTTGTAGATGGTCACAATACCTTTATTTTATTAATTTATGTGGTACTGAGGATTGAATCCAGTGCCCCTGCATGCAAGGCAAGCACGCTACCACTGAGCCACAACCCCAGCCCCAATGGTTTGCTTTTTAAATTGGTGCTTTAAAATTATGCATAAGCCGGGTGCAATGGCACACACCTGTAACCCCAGTGGTTCAGGAAGCTGAGGCAGGATTGCCAGCCTCAGCAATGGCAAGGTGCTTAGAACTCATTGAAACCCTGTCTCTAAATTAAAAAAATACAAAATAGGGCTAGGGGTGTGGCTCAGCAGTCAAGTGCTCCTGAGTTCAATCCCTAGTACCTCACTCCCAAATTATACATAATAGTGGAAACTGTTATATTTGCACATACACAGGACGTAATTTGATCACTCTCATTCCTCTATACCGTCTATATTCCCTCCCCTATGCCCACCCACTTATGCTTCAATGGTTTTTCACATCATTGACTGACAAAATTTTCTAATAAAGAAAGTGCAGCAGGCAAAGGACAAATGGATTGATTGCTAGTCCAAAAAAATCCAATTGTTAGATATTCATAGTTGTACTTCTTAGTTACCTTAAAATTTTTGGCTGCTTTCATGATCTTACCACATTTATTTTTTTCAAATATTTTTTGTTTGGGCTGGAGTTGTGGCTCAGCAATAGACACAATACCTTTATTTTATTTACTTATTTTTTGTAGTCCTGAGGATCAAAACCAGAGCCTCACATGTGCTAGGTGAGCACTCTACCACTGAGCTACAACCCCAGCCTGAACTTACCATATTTAAGACACACACATTCACATTCTATATCTGCACTGGAGTCTTGCTTAATTAAATTCAATTGTAATTAATTTTTTTTAGATGGACACAATACCTTTATTTTATTTGTTTTGATTTTTATGTGGTGCCAGGGATGGAACCCAGAGCCTCAATCATGCTAGGCAAGTGCTCTACCAATGAGCCACAATGCCAGCCCCTCAATTATAATTTTGGTGTTTTTTTTTTTTTTTTTTTTTGGTCTTTTTTGGAACTGAGGGTTGAATCCAGGGCTTTGCTAATGCAAGGCAGATGCTTTGCCACTGAGCTACATCCCAGCCCCCCCTCAATTGTAATTTTCAATTGGAGTACTTAACTTTTTTCATATTTCTATGCCTTAGTGTACTTCTTTCCATATTTTTATTTTTGTAGGTATTGGAGATTGAACCCAGGGGCACTTTACCACTGAGATATACCCCTACCTCTTTTTTTTGGAGACAGGGTCTTAGTTATTATGTAGGCTGGCCTGGAGCTTGCGATCCTCCTGCCTCAGCCTTTCCAGTTGCATGCACCACTGAACCTATCTAAGTGGATGACTTTTTTTTTTTTTTTTTCCCTATTTGGTAAAATTAGAAATATAACAACAAATGGTAACAAAGAAAATTAAATTTTAACAAATGTAACCCATATGCAAAGTATTCTAAAATGTATTGGCTTTTAGCTAAATGAGATAAATGAATCAATGTAATCTTTATAGTACTCCTAAGAATAGCATAATAGGGGGGCAGGGGTTGTGGCTCAGTGGTAGAGTGCCTGCCTCATACATGGGTTCGATCCTCAGCACCACATAAAAAAACATCTAAATAAAGTATTGTGTCCATGTACAACTAAAAAAAAAATTAAAAAAGAATAGCATTATAGGATTTTTGTTAAAATTCTAATTAAATTCATATTAAACAATTTGTGAAGATACATGAAAAGGTAGTAGTACCCCGTAGTGCTAAATCTGTAGAGCTCAGAACGGGGGGATAGGTGGAAAAGGTTTCTAGTCTCAGACTCCTTTATTTTGCCTCCCACACCACTACTGGATTTACTTGCTGGATGTCCCTTGATTAACCTCTTTGTTTCTATTTCCTTAGCTGCAAAATGAAAATAACAGTAGAATAGATCTCATAGTGTAGTTGTAAGAATTAAATGAGAAAATACATATAAGTAGTCTAAAGTGCTCAGTGCTTCCTATTACTAGAAAATCAATCTGTGCAGTCAGCATGTGATCACTTCCTTACTGAAAACCTGTCACTTTGTTCCTATTATTGACCAAAGGATGTTATTCTATTCACCTTAATCAAAAATAACTTCTTCAATGCCTCTGGTTTGGGCTGTCACTATCTCCTTTACCAGATCATAAATGCCCAGATCCTTTTACCCTACCAGATCCATTAGAAATCTTTCAAAAATTAGTTATTGAACTTTTTTCCACTAGAGGACAAGCCACCTTGTGAAGTATTAGAACACCTAAAGAAGATTTACGAAATAAATAGTCCGCAGGGGAATACCCGGTCGAACTGACTACCAAGTCAAAACTTTTTAGTGAAATGCCCATTTTTCATTGCTTTTCACTGACGTCAACTGGTCACTGACCTCCCTCTGACGCAAAAAAGGCGTGTTTAGGGAGACAGCTGGATTTCTTCCTCGCCCTGCCTTCCAGGGACCGGCAGGCGCCGTCCCCAGCCCTGCCCGCTAGCCACTTTGGACACCATTGGTCCGGTTTCCCAGAGAGGCCGGCTGCAGTATGGCCCCGCCCATCAGTGGGCGGGGCCTCTCCTCCCCGGGGGCCGGGGCGGTGGGGGTTGCTGCGTCCGCCATCTTGGGTTCCGCGGTAGCGGTGGCGGCAGGGGGGCGCCGCTTCTGGGGAGTGGCTCTTCTCTCCCCTCCCTCCTCCGGCTCGGTGGCGACAGCTCCTCCCACTAGGGGGGTGGGTGGCGCGGCGGCGGTGGCATCTAGGCCATGGCGGCTACTACTGCTAACCCCGGTGAGGAGACGGGAGGACTGGGGCTCCCCTCAAGGGGGAGGGGCCGAGGGGCTGACGACTGAGGAGACCCGGGGCTGCGCGGCGGTGGCGGGGCTGACGGTGCGGGGGCGGGCGGGGCACTGGGCGGTGGGGGAGGGGTGCCATGGGGGAGGGGTGCCATGGGGGAGGGCCCGGCCCCGGAGACCGGGGAGTCCTAGCGGGAATTGGGGGTCCGCTGAGTGAGAGTGGCCGCGGCGGCCGGGCAGCCGGCCTCCTCTCGGGCGATGTGCCGGTGTGTGCTGAGGTCGTCTGTCACCCTGCGCCGGCGGCAGCTGCCTGGGGCCGGCTCCGTGGGCGCCGTGGCTGCGCTTACTTCCAGAGTAGTTGGGTTCATAAACACCGGACCACGTTGCTGTTGAGCTGAGGCGTTGCTTTTGGAGTTTAGTTTTCATTTTAAAATTTAAAATTCTTGACGATCTACTCAGGGGTCTCTCCTTCCCACCACCACCCCGGGCTGTATTTTGAGATTTTCTTTTTAAGTGTTAGGAGGGCCTGTGCTGAGGGCAGAGGTTTGGGTAATGGTGGGGGTTCGGGACCCCAGGTTTAAACTTTATCAGAACTAGTTCCCATTCTTTCAGAAAAAGTTTAGTTCGTTGACGTTTCTCAGTGAACATTAATGAAAGTCTCACGGGCCAAGTCTAAGACATTGGAGTAGGTTGTAATGCATATCTAGAGAGTTCAAATCTTCTAATTTTTACTTCCAATCCTCTTTTCGCTATATTACAGTTATTTCTCCCTAGGAATTTTTTTTTCAATATCCTTGGTCATTGCCTTGTAAAATAAAATATATCCTTTCCCAGAAATCTTTTTTTTTTGATCGGGTGTGTTACACCATAAACTGACCCCGGAAAATCAAAAGTTCCAGGTTAGCTTCACAATTTATTTCGTCTCAAAAAAAGTGGAGTGGGGAATGGAAGAGGAAGAATTCCTTGCTGTCATTCACTGTTGAAATTTAAATTTGAATTTCTTTATGTCTCTGAAAGGCAGGTTTTGATACTAAAATTGAAATCATCCTTGAATTTACTGTCTTTTTCACAGTGCTTCTGGGAGCAGAGCTATTTTTCAAAAATATTTTTTAGTTGTAAATGGATCTTATATTTATTTATTTATATGCGGTGCGCTGAGGATTGAGCCCAGTGCCTTACACATGCCAGGCAAGTGCTCTACCACTGAGCCACAACTCCAGCCCCCAGGAGAGAACTATTTTAAGATGTTGATATGTCCCACATCAATATTAACATTTTAATCTTCAAAAAATTTTTTCGGGAAAGGGCAATAAAATTAATGGCTAAAATTCTCTTGAAGAAAGTGCTGAGTGATGGAGTAAAACTATTACAATTGGCAAAATGCTGTTAGGGACACCTGATCTTGGAGTGAAATAACTTATCTGTGAACTAGGGAGCAAATAAACAAGATTTTAAATTGATCACACATTGCAAAGTTCTTATATAACCCTAGTCAAATTGCAAAGCGTTTCTCTTATTAAGAAGTGGCCTGGATAAACAAGTCTTAGTGCATATGTCAGAAGCTTTTTTCCAGCTGTGTGGGTGTGGTTGCTTTATTTTGTTTTGTTTTTTTTAAGCAACACCAGAATGACAGTCTCTTGATAGTATTTTTATTAGCTGACCAATATCAGCTTAAATTTCTAATCAGAAAATAACATTTTTTGGTTCAGGACCCTTTGTTAATGAAACAGATGATTTTATTTATTGTTTTTTGCTTGCTTATGCAATTTTTAGATGTTTCTCTTTAAAAAAAATTTTTTTAGTTGTAGATGGACACAATGCCTTTATTTTATTTATTTATTTTTGTGTGGTGCTGAGTATCCAACCCAGTGCTTTACATGTATGAGGCCAGCACTCTACCACTGAGCTACAACCCCAGCCCTTAGATGTTGCTTTTGATGTTAAAAGATTCTTCTATCTCTTCTAAGTTTATCAATCCCACAGTCAGTACATGATAATTAAATAAGAAAATGTATTTTTTCTTCATTTTTCCCTTTACCCCTTTCTAGCAAAAGGAAGATCATAGATGTGTAATGGTTGTTGTGTAATGGTTGGGGTTCGCGACGTATCTTTGGTCCAGAACCCCAGGTTTAAACTTTATCAGAACTAGGTTGAGACAGTTCCCATTCTTTCAGAAATAGTTTCTTGACGTTTCTCAGTGAACATTAAAGTCTCGCCGGCCACGTCTAAGACATGGAGTAGGTTGTAATGCATATCTAGAGAGTTCAAATCTAATTTTTACTTCCAATCCTCTTTTTGCTATATTACAGTTAATTCTCCCTAGGAAATAACTAGATGACTTTGGTAGCTTGTTGAATTTTGGAAAATGAGATCCATGAATGGACGGACATAGGGTAGAAATGTACTGTGTTCAGTGAAAAGAAAGTAAATGAATTTTTGGTCCGAATCTCTTGCTGCAACATACCTTCTTACCTTAGAATCATTTTAGGGACCAAGAAAATAATCCTATTTTTTGAAAACTTTCTACTTTGTATTTTTGCTGGAGTTGAATACTGGTTGTTTCCCTATAGTCCTTGTTAGTTCTGTCTTATATGTTTTGAAAAGATCTTTTTTTTAAAATTCACTTTTCAGTTGGGTGCAGTGGTACATTTCTGTAATACCAGCGGCTGGGGAGGCTGAGACAGGAGGATGGATAGTTCAAAGCCAGCCTCAGCAAAACTCAGTGAGACCCTGTCTCTAAATAAGATACAAAATAGGGCTGGGGATGTGGCTCAGTGGTGGAGTGCTCCTGAGTTCAATATCTGGTAACACTCCCCCCGCCAAAAAAAAAAGAATTCACTTTTCTCTTAAGCTTTATTTAAGTTAATCTTTATTTAGGGTTAATAACAACATTTCATCATGGTAATTGTACTTATTCTGATTTATTTAATATTTAAAGTGCTGGAACTTGAACCCAGGGCTTTGTGCAAGAGCTCAACCGCTGAGCTACATTCCCAACCCACTTATTCTGATTTAAAGACTGCTGGTGGCTGTCTTTCTTCAAGGGACCTGGTTCTTCATTTTTATCATATCTCAATATGGTGTTGGATCAGAAGAATATGATATATTTTGTAGTCTGTTGTGTTGCAGTGATAGTTCTAAGATGATGATAATGATGACTTTTTTGTCTGTATGAATTGGTAATTCTTCATACTTTATTATTCATTAGTTCTACTTACTAGTGGCAAATAGTCTTTCTTGGGTATAGATTGCTAACAATTTTGAGGAACACTTTAAAAAAATTAAAGAATATTTTTAGCTCTAGATGGACATGATATCTATTTTTTTAATGTGGTGCTGAGAATTGAACCCAGGCCCTCACACATGCTAGACAAGTGCTGTACCACTGAGCCACAACCCCAGCCCAAATTTATTCCTTTTTAAAAAAATGTTACTTTAAAATTTTTTATTCTTTTTAGTTATACATGACAGTTGAGTGTATTTTGATATTATACATACATGGAGTGTGACTTCCTATTCTTGTGGTTGTATGTGATGTAGAGTTTTTCATATATGAACATAGGAACGTTATGTCTGATTTGAGGAACACTTTTAAAATTGGATGTGCAATTTGTAGTGCACCAAAGGACTAGTTGGGAAAAGATAAGTTTTGTTTTTTTTTAATATTGTTTTAGTTGTTGATAGACCTTCATTTTATTTATTTATACACAGTGCTGAGAATTGAACCCTGTGCCTCACACATACCAGGCAAGTGCGCTACCACTGAGCCCCAGCCCCAGCCTCAAGATTGCATTTTGATTTGATTTACAATTTAATATTCAAACATGAGATGTGAATTAGTTTGTAATGAGTGTAGGTTTTTCCTCTCTTGATTCTGGTATTCTCATTAGCAGAGAAGTCTTTGTGTTCTATTATGCACAGTTTATTGTGGATGGAAAATATAGTAGAAGGCAAAAGAGGAATGCTGTTTGGGTTTGTAAAGGCTGACATTTAGGAAAGAAAAATTCTTTTAATGTAATTCTCACCAGTATAATTATAGTTTTAAAAAGCATCAATTAACAAAATTCTTATCCATTACCTTTGTTTGCCTTTTTCAGATATAGGAAAATAGTAATTCAGGCAGCATAAAATTAAGATGTCAAGATACTTCTTAAGAAGATTGGGGATATAGCCCAGTGGGAGAGCACTGCCTAGCATGTGTGAAGCCTTGGGTTCAATCCCTAGTACTGCCAAAACAAGCAAAAAAACACCAAACTTTTAAAAATATATTAAATTGCAAAGACCGTTCAAAAATTCATTAAGTGTATTTTACTAATTCAACAATTGAAATATAATTAACATTTTGAAAAGAAATCCCAATCTGCCTATCTTTATGCAGTAGATTGGTGGTGGCATCCTGAATATTCTGTATTTTCTTAGAAATTAAGAAGTAGAGAGGGGCTGGGGATGTGGCTCAAGCGGTAGCACGCTCGCCCGGCATATGTGCGGCCCGGGTTCGATCCTCAGCACCACATACAAACAAAGATGTTGTGTCTGCCAAAAACTAAAAAAAAAAAAAAAAAAAGAAGTAGATACTTCAGCTTTCTTGGAACTTTAGTTTTCTTGTTGCTTTGAAATAGTGGTCTCAGCTTAGTTTTTGGTATGCTATCCCCCCTCCACATTCAAATAGTTTACTAAGAGATGAGAATAATATGTTGTTTTATGGGTATTTTGAGAAGGTGTTTTATGTTCTTTGTGTGGACCTTGAGAGCTTGTTTGGAGATTCTAATAGGGGAGGGCAGCTACTCGTATACTTTCTATCTATCTATCTATCTATTTATTTATATTTATATATGACAGTGGAATCATTACAATTCTTATTAAACATATAGAGCACAATTTTTCATATCTCTGATTGTATACAAAGTATATTCACACCAATTCATGTCTTCATACCATACTCACTCTTGACTGAAGAACAATCCTCCTCTACCAGGGAAGGTTGTCCTCTTTGAC